GTTAGCACCTACAATAGGGGTCTGAAAATCTGTGATGGCAAAGTTTAACACAGCAGAAAGTGTAAAATTGTTAGACAGCTTTGAAGTACCGCCAATGCCAAAATTATTTTTGAATACGCGGTTGTTCGGGGTGAAACCCTGATCGTCCATGTAAGAATAGTTGGCATTAAAATTACTGGTGGCCGAAGATGCTGCTACGTTGATCGAGGATGTTTTAACAACGCCCGTGCGGAAAAATGGCTTTACATTATCGTAAGCCCTGTAGTCCTGTGTTTTGCCCGCACCATAAAGCGCTGGGTAAGCAGCCTGCAGAGAAGGGGAGTAAGCTACCTGTAACGGAGGGTTGGTGAATTTAGCACCCCAGTTGCTGAAGGCTGCTGAAGGCACAAGGTCAAATCCACCACCATAGCTATCCTGGTAATCGGGCAGGTTAGCAATGGTATTGGTGAAAACTGACTGCGAAGCAGTGATTTCCATTTTCTTCGGCAATTTCCTGGTAGAACCATTTTTCGTAGTAACCAGTATAACACCATTTCTGGCCGCCTCACCGTAAAGTGTAGTGGCGCTTAAGCCTTTTAATACGTTTACACTTTCAATATTATTAGGATCCAAATCAAGGAAGCGGCTGGAGGAAGAAGTTCCGCCGCCGTACTGGAAATTATCTCCGCCATTGTTGCCACCGTCGAAAGGAACACCATCTACGATGAACAGTGGGGTGGAAGCGCCGCCGGTAATAGTGCTGATACCGCGGATATTGATGTTTGTACCGCTACCAGAGATGCCACTGGAGTTCAGTACATTCAATCCGGCTACTTTACCGTTTAATACACGGCCAATATCACCTTCGGGCCGCAGCTCAATGTCTTTGCTGGCTACAGTAGTTACTGAGTAACCCAGGGCTTTCTTTTCTCTTTTAATACCCAGGGCGGTTACTACTACTTCGCTTAATGCCAGGTTGGTGGCAGTAAGCACAACAGCAAGTGTACCAGACTTGTCTGCTACCACCTGCTTTTTGTCGAATCCGATGCTTGAAATTACCAGTGCTGTTCCTGGCTTTACAGATAATTTAAAAAGACCATTGGCATCACTGGTAGTACCCCTTTTGGAGTTTTTTTCCTGGATGGATGCCCCGGAAACAGGATTGCCCTTGTCGTCGGCAACCCGTCCTGAGATCTCAACATTTTGGGCCATGGCTGCCTGTAATAGCAGCAGCATGCCCAGAAGGCAAATTAGCAGTTTTCTCATGTTTAGTTTTGTTTATGTGTGAGATCTTAAAAATAGGTTAAAATGGATAAACGGCCAAAATACTACTGTTTATCCGACGCATTGTAAAGGAAGGAAAATTGGCAGTGGCTTAGCTTTTAAAACTTTTTACATTTTGATAATCAATTGATTATAAAATTTAATAAAGAAAAGCATTGCTAAATCTATGCTGGCTTAACAACTGTTAACGCAGGTATTGCCTGGCAGGTTTTATTTTTTCCGGCTAAAACAAGAGTAGTTAATCAAGCAGGCGGATGCTTTCAAAGAACAGCGGCGGCCCTGCTGATATGCTGTTAATGACTTTTTCTGCATCCGATAAGATGTGAATCGAAGGCATAAAAAAAGCGCCCGGATTACCGGGC